CCTATCTAAGCAATAAAAATAATAAAAAAACCTAATTTTGCGGCCTTATCAGAAAGAGTCAGTTGGTACCTGTTCTCCACTAAATCAAGTGGCCTGTTACGATACTCACGGAAGAGATAAAAGGCTACTCGAGACTTATATGATTAAAATTCACAAACGATGAAAAATTCTGAATGAACATATATAAATAGTTGCTACCATCCTAATCTAAAATCAATGATAAACTGTAATACATTATTGATATGATGATAATGACTTGTGTAGTGTTTTTTTTTTTTGTAAATTTGGTTTTCGAATTTAACCTGGATTCCGTGATACAATATTTAGAACTAACTACTAACAACTATACAGAAAGCAAGATCACTTAAAACGCACAGAGAGCACTTACGGACTCTTACAATTAGAATAAAAGTTCACTGTGTATTTGTCTGCACTGCAGTAAATCAGGTTTGAACACGAACCCACAAATTATGCTCCATATCGGCGAAGATATTGCTCTGTATCAGTTGCCATGGAAACGGGCGTGAGAACCCGGATTCAGTGATTGCGTGTTCCCGGCAATACAGGTTACGAACAGTACCACCATATTACTGAGAATTAAAAAGGTAATAGACATTTATCGTACAGATGTATAATATTTTTGTGTAGTTTCGAACATGAAACATTTGATTTCTGAACGAAATAACTAGAACAGATCTATGCTAGGTCAGGTACACTCCGTGCCTCGATTTTAATAAGTAACAATTAAAAAAACTTGAAAGCTAGGAAGCTAAAAACGTAATACGCTAAAAGAAAAAAGGAAAAAAATAATAAATAAATATAAAAATAGATAATTATAAACATTTTTATACGAAACTAGCTGGCCCGGCAGACTTCGTAGTGCCTCAATCGATAAATAAAAGACACATCAAGGGGACACATTAAAGAAAAAACAAAAAGAATTTTTTTTATATAATTCCGGGCTTTTTTATATTTTCTCACCTTTTAAGTCTTCCCTGGACCTCCACGAATAATTCAAGACCAAAATTAGCCAAATCGGTCTAGCCGGTCTTGAGTTTTAGCGAGACTAACGAACAGAAATTCATTTTTATATATAGAGATTAGACGGTAGTAATGTTGAATTTTAAATCACATATAGTAATTTCACGTAATGTATTTTCAGATGCGCTAATAGTACTTTGATACATTCTAGAAGATTCTTCGAATCTTTATTCAGATCTGAGATAACTCGAAGAAAGGAATTCGATGTGAAAAACAGAAAGACAAGGAGACAGATATGAATTACTTAACGAAAGTATGTACTTTATTAGGTTTTTTAAAGAATTTGCTGTTGAAGCATAAATTGTATAATATCACAAGCTTCAATGTAAACGAAAAGCTGTGTTTATTTGCTAAGTTAAACAGAAGTTCTTATTTCAAGTTCGTGACGATTTTACTCCACTAGAGATATTTGTACAATCGAAAAGCTTTTAAGGTGTTATTATTGTCCTGTCAATAGTAATCGTGCATGCCACGCTATTGATACGTTATAGAATCGGATGAGTGAATTTAATGTAATAATTTGCCAAGGTAGCCTACTGTAAAATCCATTGATGTAATAGCCGTGATGCGGATTCAAAAATTTAACTGCCGTTAATACAAACAAGCTTTCGACCTCATTCGTTAATGATGGACTCCACTAACGACTTTATAGCACACGGACATCTAAATAGCTTAATAAAGTTGACGTGTAAATAAAAACATTCGAACCTGTGACACCAAATTGAATATCGAACCCAGTCTTGATTAAAAAATAGTAATAAAATAATTCAATGTTTGCTCAAGACTACTCATATTACTGTTAGTTGTATTTGAATAATTAATTATATGAATTTAAATCGTTCATTAATCTCTTTAAAAAGACAGTAAATACAGTGTTCTACTATTAAAAAACTACCAAAGAAATTAAGAGATCTAGACGATTTTCATTATAAGAAAAAACTAAAAGATAATCTTATTAGTGAAAATTTATTATCGCATAAATGATTTTCTTAGGGACGACATTCAAAATAAATGGATTTGAATTATGGATGAATGAAAGGTAAATTATATAATATCATAATATCTTGCACTGCACTAAAATTCACATGTCATATAATGACAAAGCAAACACGCTGCTTTTAACTTATATTTTCACTATGCTTAGCGAATAAATGATTTCTTTCTTTCAAAACAAAAAACTATTATTCTAAATAATAATATTCATATAATATTTAAGCCGGAAATTATAAATCATCAAACTTACTTGAGTATAACAACTATTTTTGTTATTTTTAAATAATAACTACAAATTCTACAGATATTTTTTCATTAAATGCTACTTCTTACTGTTCGTATCCCTCAATCTGTATAATTTTAGCCAAACCTCAGAGTTCAATGACACATTATTTTAAAGTTGATCTATATTTCACAAAAACCAAACAATCCGCTTAAAAATACCGGTATCGCTGTCTCTTTCCGGAGCTAATGATGCAGTAAAACGATACAAGTGTGAAAGGGATGTACGTAGTTGCCGAGTGTGACTCGATTGTGGGCCGGCTTTCTCTTTGAAGCGTAACGACCGTTTAAGTTCAAGACGAAGCAACAATGCGGAGTGAACTGACCGAATAATGTTGTCCTGTTCTAACAGTTTTTGCTAATGTGTTGACAACTAATGACGTAATACCGATAAAATGTATCAAGGTTGTATCTGTAGGGATTTATTAAAGTTTAATACTTATAGAACGTTTTCAAGAAAGATTTTGAATGTGTTGTATATTTGAGAGAACCAACACAAACTATAATATGATTGAGAGTTTAATCTCAAACGTCAAGTGGCTGGTGAGGACATTCTACTACTATAAGCCTTAATGTAATCGAGACGTATCGACTACTCTACTGCTAAGGATTCTCCTGAAACTTTATTTGAATAAGGCTATATCATAACGCCCGTGAGATACTGTGGAAGAGAGTTATTTCCAGAGCCTAATGGTACACGGCAAAAAATATGTCTGAAAAAGTACAGTGATTGAACATAGCGGTTCTAGGTAGTATGGATGAGTTTGACTCCGGTGAGTGGTAGTTCGATGATGAAAAGGAAATGAAGACATCAGCTCAAACAGCCTTTAAGGATATAGGTGCGGTGTATGACCACCCAGCTTATCTCTGACGTGAGGCAGTCATGTATGTTGATCCATTTATACGATACAATTATGTCTTTGACATCAGGCTTCAAGTATGCTCAGTTATGATGTCTTAAGTGGTTACTGGAGCCAATAGACATATACAAGGTAAATGCGCCACCCACCTTGAGATATAAGTTCTAAGGTCTCAGTACAGTTACAACGGCTACCCCGCCCTTCAAACCGTGGTGGTGGTAACTACCCGTGGGATTCGCAAGAGGTCCTACCACCAGTAAAAACTTGACCTAATTTACCAATTATGTATAACAATAATTGAGTAAATATGCTATGGGTCAATACAAATGTATTTTACAGCAAGCATTATATGAACCGATTCGATACTGATGATACTATCCAGTGCTCATCTTGCAAACGGTACCTCAAAGTCATTGTTAATAGTCAGGTGCTCTCTCTATGATCTGTGATAATATTAAGAGATGTTATGTATTAAGTCACAAGAAGAACCTTGAGTAAGTCTGAAAATATTGACATTACTATGAGACATTGAGCACAATATTCAAATGTCACGCATATCACCTTCGTCATCCGTGACCACGAAAACTATAAAGTATACGAAGGTCTACGAAAGTTGGAAATAATATAATGAGAGTAAAAAACGCGAGGTTAAATCGTAAAATTTGTTTTAGATACCAAAGAAAATACTAAGTAAATCTGCCTTATAATATTCCGTCATATTCTGAATTGCTAAGTGCTTTAAATAAGCACCAGTGCAGTGGTTGTCAGTGTGTGGTGCCTGTTCTATATTCTATTTTAATATTTTAGTTTTCGGAGACATTTAAATATAGTGTTATTAACGGTTAATATTAATTACTATTTTTAATTACAAGACATTGGAACGATCTTAAGAGGTTACGAGAGCTTTTAGACATCGCGGTGTGAATATTTTAGAAACAGACAGGGTGGTACCCTGTACTGCCAGTAATTATGCAAATTAGAACTTATGCAACTTTTTCGAATGATCAATTGGCACGTGGAAAATTTCTAAGTTCATTTTAAATATAATTAAATTAAAAAGTTTTTTAATTAGCATCAGATGTCTGACAACGCGTTGATGTCTTTTATATGAATACGTTTTTAATCCAATTATCATGTAAGCGTTACGAGAATTTCTTTAACTAAAAAGTTTTAATTTCAATCATATTTTAAATTAATCTGATCGTAATTAGGGCAGTTCTTTGTATATGTGAGCTATATGTGAGGTGATATTATAACAAAAGTTGGGCCGTGAATTCGTCCGATGTACGCTAATGAAATATATTTAATCATTACTCCCATTCCTGATCTAAATGATATCAAGCACTCGTTAACTTGCACAAAGCTCAAAGACAATTGTTACCAAATTACTTATCAGTTTATTAGCTAAAGAACCTTAGGTTTGGCTAGGCAAAATTTAAAAAAAAAACGACCCTATCCTGCATCCTCTCGTATTACCTCGATCTCAAACAAGAGCATCGTAGTTAACCCGTTGTCAGATTATACATCAACAAATTGACAGTCCCCAGCATCTTCAATCCCGATTAACCACGGCTCATAAGAACCGGGCGGTCATAACACGGAGCCATAGTACAAAATAAAAGCAGCACGTCAACACTAAAACAAAACCACTCATCAACATCAGTCAGCGATGACACCTTACCGTTACACGACTACGAGCTATATATCGTAAGTCCTTTCCGTGAGAAAAACGTTATTGTATCGACAGCTCTGCTCTTGCGTCTCGTAGCTGAGAGCTGGAGGCTGCGGAGGCTTCGAAAAGCGCGCGAAGGCAGTGTGGCGCCGTTGGTCGTGCGCAGAGCACGCTTACATCAAGCGCGAGCGCTGCCGAATCTCGCCGAAACCCGAGCCCCGATTGGCCGAACCCAGAACAATAATCTCGAAAATGGAACGAATGACCGACCGTTTCTGTGTAGATCTAACGTAAACGACACTATTTTTTTTTCTATTCGGTATGCCTTGTGGATCGTGCCCGAATGTGTATTAATGACCGTGTATTTGAGTACAGTGTTCCGAATTGAGTGCTAAACGTTTTCTAGGTCTGCTTGATTCACTTCAGCGTTTACAAGGGCGTGAAATTTGACTTGTTAAATGTGTTAAGTAAAAAGGTGTGAACTATTAGAATTTGCTCGAACTCGTGTCTGTCCGTACGTTTGTGTGAGGCAGACTTTAGACTTAGTTTATTATATTTTGTGCAATTCCGTATTAACGTAAAGAGGATTGTGAAGGACTCATATACTGTGGTATGTTATAATCGTTCTTATATCTGCTTTATAGTAATGAAAATGTGCAAATTCATTGTTAGGTCCGACCATCATGCGACCATATTTTAAGAACGAAGCAGCAAGCATTGCTCTTTGAAAGATGGAACAGCCATATTACAATCAAGCTTTCGACCTCATATCACGCTTTGGCGTTTGTGCTTTGATAATCCTGTAACAACAAATACATCAGTATATCGTCACTAGCCATCTAGAGCGATAAAACAATTCTAGAAGAACTTACTCAAGATACTCACCTCTAAATCCTGGTATTAATCCCGACGCATAGACTGCTGAAGTCACTACAATTTCCACACTTTCTGTCATTCAAATATTTGCTTGCTACCACTGTAACTATAGTGTAACCAAGATCGGCAACAGTGACTTCAATTACTCTATCTCTATCTGTAGGAATCTCACTTTCATTTCCTATCATATGCTTACATTAAATACCATCGTTTGATCTGTTCTTAATCCGAAGAATTTAAATTTGGAACTTGAAGGTATGGCGCTTAATATTAAATTGATATTTATCTGACGTCCTGAAACACAAGCCTTATATCTAGCATGGGCACCAGTCGTAGTACTTACTTTTCCCCCCTACTATTGGCTGGTAGTCTATGAGGCCATTCTAGCTACGCCTTGACGGGTAGGTGAGCTCACGGGCTCAACCTGAGAGAATATGCTAATACTAGCCCTAGCAAGAGCAATGCTTCGCAGAATCTACCACAGGATCGGAATCGCGACCCACTGATAAAATCCGGCAAGAAAGTCAGTGGGCAGTACGTACTACTACAGTATGGTTACTTTTTGAAAATCAATCTGCAATCTATTTTTATGTATTGTGGTGAGAGATATTCCTTGTCAGTATGTCAACTAATGAATACATAATTGTGAAGCTTTCGTGAAAGCTTTCAAACATACTACTTTGCTTAATTTGCAAAATGGTATGTTCTGAACTCGTGGCTCTTCAAACATTGGCTTATCTTACTGTAAACTTTCAATAATAACGAAGAAAAACATCCAACAGAGAATGCTGTTGCCAACCTTCATACACGAGAAACTTATCAATAACATCTAAATATGACCGATGCAATTACTTATTAATAAATGCTGTTTTAAACAAAATGCATGGAAACTTCACTGCAAATACATGCAAAGTAGACCATAATTTCTATGGGATTACATTTTTTATATTGATAAAACTTGCAAGTGGAAACACAGTGGAAGTATTTCATTAACAAAAAACTTTTTTTCCACAGGAGAGTTTATGAAACACTTCCACTGTGTTTCCACTTGCAAGTTTTATCAATATTAAAAATGTAATCCCATAGAAATTATGGTCTACTAACGTAATTATAAACTTGGTATATGTTGTAGGATTAAAATCGCGCCATTCACAAAAAACAATACGGATTGCTTGCCGTAAAATTGAGACTTACTATTCCAGGAAAACGATTGGCACTGAATTATAAAATTATTAGCCCTATAATTCGTACATTGAATGATTGGAATCACTAATCTCCTACGATTTTTGTTGTTACCTGTCTTTTAAATAATTTAACATTAGGTAAAATTTGTTTTTATTTATTGTAGTGGATAGAAAGATGAAATTATTAAGAGACGACGTAGCGTATGTGAATACGTGACATTCCGGAAGCTTTAAAAAATGTAATTGGAAAGTTTTACGAAGTTTTGTATTCTAGATTCATGTCTTATTTCTTACGTCAATAAAAAAGCATGAAATCCAAGTTCAATTACATGAATGTGTTATACTAGATTTTGATTTCTCATTTATAAAAATCCTTGAAGGTCTTCAAAATATCGATTGTACTTCTTCTTCTTTTTTTTCCTACCTAAGCTGATAGCCTTGAGAGGCTATTTCAGCGTAACCTTAACTAGTAAGTGAGCTCACGGGGCTCAAACCGAAGTGATGCTAACACTGACCCTAGCAAGAGCAGTGCTCCACAGAATTTACCACCGGATTGAAAACGCGACTCACTGAGAAGATCCGGCGAGAAACTCCGTGGGTCGTGTCTATGGGAACTTCTTCTGTTACTTCTTACTTACTTAAGAATACTACGGCCACTGAAGGAATACGTTTCTGTCAGGGTGCCATTGAAAAGACTATACGAGTATAGCCTTGAATTTACGTTGAAAAAAAAAAGTTTCTTTCCCAGTCTACTAAAGTACATTTAGAAAGAATACTATTACGTTAACTTGGGATAAATCGTGTAATTGTATGCTAACTTTTGATGAGGATCGATCGCATTCTTTCGACGGCGAGACAATACGTAATTTAACGAACATGTGTAAGAAAATTTACCTTGTACAAAACATACAACTATAGATAATATGATTTCAAATTTTAATACAGATGTAATAATAAAATACTAATAATAGGAAATAAGACTGGACAGACAGAAATATTAATGGTGGTAGGACCTCTTGTGAGTCCGCGCGGGTAGGTACCACCACCCTGCCTATTTCTGCCGTGACGCAGTAATGCGTTTCGGTTTGAAAGGTGGGGCAGCCGTTGTAACCATACTGAGACCTTAGAACTTATATCTCAAGGTGGGTGGCGCATTTCCGTTGTAGATGTCTATGGGCTCCAGTTACCACTTAACACCAGGTGGGCTGTGAGCTCATCCAACCGTCTAAGCAACAAAAAAAAAGTAAGAGAATTTAGTTCAATTTTGTACAGGGTGCCGGAATAAGACTGAAACTGTAATATCTACCTATTAGCTCAAAATTAGCAATGTATTGTATGTTAGATAAGCACTAACATAATATTTAAAGGAAATGTATTGTTAAGTAAAAACTGGCTGGTTAAGTAAAAATAAGGCATTCTGTATGAACTTATTATTACTAAATTGATTGAAAGAATAAAAACTATCTCACAATAACAATTTATAGTTCACGGACATTCAACAATTCTACTTTTTAGCGCTGTATACTTAAATCAGAGAATATCATTTATATCAACACGCTCGTCAACTTGAAGCGATGTTTATTTATTTATATATTTAATATTTAAAGTTCTTATTTTCATATTCAGTTATTTATGTTATATGCCTTCGAATCAAATTAAACAATGTCTACGGAAACCTTTTGTGATATACAGTCAAAGAACGACATTGGCAAAGAAGGAAGTATCTACAAATGTAGCTGATTCTTTTAATAATTTGATAGCTATAGCAGAACGCGGTTGGAATTCAAAAGTAAAAATAAATTTAAGATCTGAATCTCGAAAACGGCTCCAACGATTTTTACAACATTTAGTATACAGGGGATTTCGGGGTCGATAAATCGATCTAGCTACGATTTATTTTCAGAAAATGCTGTTTTATTCATGTTTTCAATAATCAACACTTCCCGACATCTATTGGCGAATAATAATACTATTTTTCTTAATTGAGGGCAACTAAACGCTTTAAAGAGAAAACAAGATGGCGTTATAAAAAAAACCGAGTTAAGCTCGGTCATCGTCTAGTGATGTTATTAAATGGCACGTGTACAATATTGTTATTTAATTTAGACTGCCTAGAAAATTAAAAATTCTATTTTTAATTGCCGAGAAAATATAGGTAAAATAAACAATAAAAATAATATTGTTACCTGAGTATTCTCAACGGCTCTGCGTTGCTTATGACAACCTATTGCTCCACGTTAAAATAAAAATATAAGGACTACAATACAGACGGTCACGTATGTTGTCATTACTCTTATCCCACATTTCGGAGGAGCGTTCGAAGCGTTTTTGTACGCCATTAAGGAAAATATTAGACAAATGTACCATCTTAATTGACGTAAAAAGTACAGACCCCAACCTTACAATAAGTCTAGTGTTTTTTGTTCACGTTTTATTTAATAGGTCAAATGACGCATCGTATGTTTGTTAGTCATGTTTTTTGCGAGACAATACGTGGTGGCTTTTGGTCGCTCATTACCGAGATAGGCCATCTGTTTTTGAATTAGAAAACGTTCGTAATTTTTTAAGCGTTCTCATTTAAATCTTTAAATGAGAATAGGTATAGTTTCTTGAACTTTTTCTGTTCTAGATCTCATCAAGAACTTTTCCTAATCAATATTTTGTGCATTTTACAACTTCCGAATGAATTATCCGCAGCATTTAATAGGTCGTGGCTTGTAAAAGTAAAAAACTGCCTAATTTAAAGACATTTTATTTTTTATTGTTGTTTCAGATATGGTTCCGACGGTAATGTTTTAAATAAATTCTGACTAAAAATAAGAATTGTTTGGGATCACAGTGTACAGTTTCTATTAAAAATATATTTGTAGATTAAAAATCATTAGTACTATCTGGTAGTTGTTTGTTCGGTTTGCTAAATATTTTAATTTACGACCAAAATTTTCTTAATTTTCTCTTTAATTCCTATATCCCTGGTGGTTAGATGTGTTTTGACCTTGAACAAATTTTTATCCTACTCAACCGAGTGTCTCGTTATGAGCAGTATCACGTTTTGCTGTCTTTGAGTTTCGGGTTTATTGAATTTCGGCGTCTGCTGTACACTAAATGCGAATCACGACCACGGTGACCAAAGTTTCCACTATAAAACAAATTTGCTAGGATGTCTAGTTTACATTCTTAACTAATACTAAAAAAAGACTTTTAATACATTTTTACTCTTTAGTAATTTGAAAATGAATCCCACTATTTTTATTAAATTGGAAAAAGTTATTTCTAACTTTACGTGAAACAAGCCTTATCGCTAAGGTATTGTAACCGCGTCTGAATGTTACACAATATTCCAGTCGAATTTATCCGTTTTCTTCTAAAAGCACAGTGCAAAATTAAGTCTGTCACGGTTCGACGCTTCAACATACTAGCAAAAGTCAACTTTATCGCGCTTCACACAGGACATAAATTTAAACACAGAAAATCAGTCTTCAATAAGGCTTAGCAGATTGATATTAGATAAAGTTATAGAACATAAATAGATATTTAAGCAAATTGGTAT